TCTTCTTTAGGAAAAAAGAAAGAATATGTGTTTACGATTTTAATATCCCATTTATAATCTGCATCACATTTTTTACAAATATTTATAGTCTTCTAAAATAAATAAAAATATCTAGATAATTATCTAGATTATCGCAATAATTATGTCATCTTATCTAAAAATTGTCTAAGATGACGTTTTCATTATGCAAAAAAGTTTTCTCATCTTTCATCTAGATTAAGTAAAAGCAAAATAATCTTTATCTCATCTAAGATAAATTTACGGATTTTTATCTTTATCTTTATCTAGATAATTTTGAAATTGTCTATAGCAAACATTGTCTGCATGGATATAATAATGTAATGTTAAATTTTAATCATAAATATGACAGATTATACATGTCTCTTTTCTCTTTATTATCATTAACAATATGTACTTGACATTATCCTTAAACTAACGATAAAAATGACTTAATCATGCAAATGATAGAGAAGGATATTTTTTCATCATTTCATAAAATATTTTTCTCACATTCAACAGTTTTGAAAGAAAGAACATAGTTGTTTTTAAGAAAAAATATATAATTTGCAATTAACAATTACATATTTTTTTTTAAACAATTATGTTTTTTCTTTACACCAATTAATTCCTCTCATTATTTTGTATATAAAAGTATTAAGGTAAGATAATCGAAAAATGAATATTTTACTAGATATTTTATGATTTATGTCAAATTAAGAAATGATTTCAAGCCTCATAACTCGAAAAATACTCAATGAAGAAATACTTTATTATAGTGTTTTGGAAAGCTCTCGAGATAAGCTACAAGAATATGTAATAAAAAATAGGGAGTTCCATTTAATAAATTGACGGAGACCTTCATGTGACCATCAAATGACTCTCTAAGGTCAAATCATTGCCACCATCTGATGGTCCCCTTCAAGCCATACAACTTTTGTTTGAAACACTTTTTTATTTAACGCACCGTTTCGGAGATATTTGAACATATTATTTAAAATGGGACACCCTGTATAAATCTCTTACCTGTGCTCTTTTGAAATAAACATATTCGTGAATAAATTCATAACAGCCTTACATTACATCCATTACACATACAAGAATTAACATTAATGCATTTGAGTGTGAAATACTTATGTTATTGTGAAAAATTTGTTACATTTCCCCAACTTTTACTCTCGTATAAATATTACATAGATCACACGACTCTATATCGTAAGCTTCCTTTTGCGTGCATGAATAAATGCATATGTTTATACGATCTTCGGCATGAGAGCTGATTGATAATGTTCGTTCCTTTCACATGCTTCCGCGAGAAACCATAGTGAAGGTGCACTGAACGACCTTACATTACAGTCAAGATCAAGATCAGTCTCTCGCGGTCGTTATTAAAAGGCTTCATTGCCGCTATATGCGGTACCATGCATTTAAATGTAACATCTGGGAAAGAATCCTTTAAATGAACATCTATTATATTCTTTCTCAGCGTTTCTCCCAGAAAAAAACTTTGCTCTAATTTATCGATTGATTTTTTTATTATCAAATACCTGTTATTCTTTTTTACGTAAAAAATATTTATGTAAACTTTCTCTTTCCGAAAAAATCTTAACAATCTATATTTTTAAAAATATTAAGCAAAACAATTGCAACACACAAAAATTAATCTAAAAGAATCCAAAACAAATTACAAATGTTTATATAAAAATCTCCAATCCGATAGCAAAATTTAAAACTATAAAAAATAATCCATTACGAATTCTTAATATATTATTATAATTATAATAAATAATAAATAATATGTATTACATATTATTTAATTTATATATTGTATTCATATGTTGTATTATTTAATGATTATTTAATTTATATACTAATTTGTAAATATTAATATAATTAATAATATAATTAATATAATAAATATTTAGATATTAATTCATATGTTGTATTATTTAATGATTATTTACTTTATATATTGTATTATAATTTGTATTATTTAATTTATATATTGTAAATAATAAATAAATAATAAAAATAATAAAAATTAAATAATAAAAATTTTTAAATAATAAAAATAATTAAAAATATATAAGAAATAATAAAAATTTTTCGACCGATGTACACGAAACTTGATAATCATGCCGGTAGCAGCTCGCAAACATTATAAGAAGCTTAATTGCATTTTTAAGCAAACAATTAAAAGCCCATCTGTCTTAGTCATCGTTGACATTGACTGTTGTTCCTCCTTTAAACCCTTTCCCGCGAGATCCTTTCACTTTCTCTCTTCAATCGATCCCCTTCTTTTATAAAATACATAGTTGTAAGCTGCATCTACACCACATATACATGAGATCATCGCGTCTCGTTGCGCGAGGAACGTTGCTTTCTCGACTTTCAAACGTTCAACCGGTCATCGGTCTTCCAGTGAAAGTAACTGGAACGAGAGAGGATGCAATCTTCGCGGGGAGTGTAATCTCCTAGCACTCTCCTCGATTGTCGAACAAGTCGACTAGTTTTTTACAGTCGTCTTCATGACCGTTCGACCGTGGAAACCGCGTGCGATTTCCGTCTAGTCAGATTTAATGGTCGTGAACGTTTATTACCCGCGAGTGTCTCTTCGCGGTTATTATTTTAAAAAAAGTAAGATAAATTATGGGCGTTTTTCAAAAAAATTTGCTACAAAATTATGATCTTTTATATCAAATAGATGAGAATTAAAGGAAGATATTTTTCCTGCTGATTTTTATTATCGCAATCATTTAATCGATTTCTCATTAAATGATTCTTTTATCAGATAATTATTATATTCATACTATCATTTGAATAATTACAGAATAATGAATTGCAGATAACAGTTGCATAATTTACTTATGAAATTTTATAAAGATAAAATTCCGGAACGATTAGTTCTTAAGTATATAAGCTTACTTATTATACGTCACATATATTTTTTTAAACATTGCAAGTATATATATATATATATATATATATACATATATATATATATATATTACTTAAATTACGCATTAGATATTTGATATATTTTATATTAAAATGATATATCGGAACAGATATTCCTCGTCCTTTACATAACGAAGCAAATTCAACAATGCATACAAATAATTTAAAGATTATTCCATGAGATATTCCGAAGTATCTTTAACTAGCATACAACATAAAAACGTTCGCGTTAAAATATTTTAACAATAACTGAATATAACTAGTAATTTTTTTGTAATTTTTTCTTGTATTTACATTTTTAGAGAGACTTAGTTTTATAATTGATATACATGTAACATACATACACTTAAAATATTTTTGTCAAAAACTTTATAAGAATAATGATAAACCTGTCTTATATATGAGCCTCTGAAATAGTTCTAATATCATTTATATTCATATGATCTTCAGGATTATTGTACAATGTGAATAAATCTTAAATACTTGAAATTGTAACAACTATATCTTCCTATATGGAAGGCTTTTACTGAGGTTTCGTGCAACCTTTTAATCGCAAATTCAACAATTTAAAAATTGGAAATTATTAAAAATTTAATGAAAAAGCTATTATTTATTCTAACTCTTCAACTTCTTTGACATTAAATATTTTTGCAATCACACTTCAATTAAAAGTTCTGCAAAAAAATTTCTTAAATCAGAAATCTTAAATTTAGCTGAAAAAAAATCCTATTAAATCAAAATCTCTTTTAAAATATTATGAAGTTTTTAACTCTTATATAATCGATATTCTGTTTAATTTGGATTATTTTTTATCTTTGTGTTTTCTATATGGATCTGAAACTTGCGCAGTAAATTTAAGTATACATTTTTTTCTGTATAAAACAAATAAATTTATACGTGAGAATATGAGATTCTACATATTGTTCAATATTTTAATTTTATAAGTAATAATGTTAATTACTGATCACAGAGAAAATAAATTTGTTACGCAAGAAATATCCAAAAAAAGTAAAAATACTTAGTAATTTCGTAAAAATTGTAATTAGAGAATTTATTACTGCAAAAAAAAAAGAAGTTGTAATATTATAATTCATAGAAGAGATATCTCTCTCTATATAATAGATTTTTCAAAAGTTATCAGTGCTCATATAAATGTATATGTATACATATCAGATATTATGATACATTAACTTCCTTAAAAAGTACTATAAATAAAATGATAAATAATCCATATTATACATAAGCAAATTAATCGATAAAACTCATTCAAGAAATCTATAATATTTAATAAATCAAACACATCACATTCTGCTTTAAAAGAAATAGAAAATAAAACTTGTTAAAATATTAGAAAATATTATTGTAACAAATTAGATCATTTTTTTATGTTTATTAATGTGATGATTATTTGATTTCATTATCGTTTTCAATGTGTCTATTTTTTACGTAATATATAAAATATTCTCTAAATAGATAGAAAAGCTTAAGAATAAAAATTTCTTTGATCAATTCGCGGTCTTAATCGATCGATCAATCATGTATATGTCCATGCGAATAAAGAACCATGAGAGAGTGAATCACACTTAATCTCTGAGGACACACGTCAAGATTTAATTCTAAGATTTAAATTAGAAACCTCCAACAAGATTCTAAAATCACATATATTCATATCTAAGAGTGTACCAGGGATTAAAATTTTCTGGAGTCAATATAATTTCGCCGAGTTCAAATCCCTCGATGAGAGGTATATGAAAATGACTTTTGTACATTTAAAACTAAGTTTCCACCGAGAGTTCGAATCAGGTCGAAGTTGGGTCAGAGTTGGGTCAGAATAGGGTTTATTGGTGTGGTGTTTCCACCATAAAAAGTTCACCCCAACTTGACTCTGACCCGACTCTGACCCAACTCTGACCCGATTCGAACTCTCGGTGGAAACTTAGTCATCTATGTCGCGACGTACAAGATAGATTTGATCGCGTTTGGAGAAAAGAAATGAACTCGAAATTACATCGGTTTCAAAATCCCGATGGCACAGGATTCCGTGTCTATCCGTGAATACTCGACGTAATTCCCGCGCCAATCGGCAAACCTAAGTTCGTACCGAACGACGGCTGTTGATACGCGACGTTGATCGGCATCGTTCTAAAGTCGTAGGTCGAGGAGTCTCCGTGTTCCTCGCGTACCGCGTAGCTCTGCTTTGGTTGAGCGAAGCTGGAGAACCAACTTGTCGGCCCGCCGAAGCCCGTGGAACCTGGCAGACCGGCGGTTGAGAAGCCTGTCTGCAGCTGCTGCTGATGCGGCGAGATCCCGGTGGCCGCCGCAAAGTTGGGCATCGCGTCGGATAACACGCTCGGCCAGTTCTTAGTAAGCTCCTCTAGCTTCTTCTGATACTCGTCCAGGGATACGGTGTCTCGCAGCACGATGCCGTTCTTGTTACCAGCGATGGTGGCTGATGGTATACCAGCCGGCAGTATGACGGCACCTTGCGTACCAGCGGTAGACGTGGTCACTTGGGTGTACGCGGTCGAAGGAATGTCCTTAACCAATGTCTCGGTACCCTTCGCCAGTTCTTTCTCTGAAATGATGTTGCTGAGAGCCTGCTGGTTCCTCAGGCTGAGATCCTTTTCGATAGAACGAGTGGTGTAGTACTTGTTCGCGTTATTGTCGTGCAATCCGCCATTTCTGGCGTCGCTGTCCATGTCGGAGAAAAATGAGTCCGTGTGCGGACTTTCGTAATGCGAAGAAGCCGATGCCGCGTATTCCTGACCTACCGATGCCATATCGGTTGGCGGATAGTTCGGTTGACGCGTGTAAGAGCCGGCATATCTAACGGAAAAAGAAAGGAAGCGTGTTAGAGAGATCGGAAAGTTAGAATAGAGCACCGATCGAACGATAACTAGATATTAAGTGATCTTTTTAGATGTATCATATATACAGGGTGTCCCAGACTATCCGTATACCTCTTTTAAAATGAAAATAAATGACTTTTATTAAAAATCGCGAACAATTTTTAAGTAAATAGGGTACGCTATATCAAATGGTGATATTTTCAACTTTTGATACCGATCGAAAATACACCATCCGGATCGGAAGTTGAATTTTTTTAGAGGAACATGATACTTTTTATTATAGATTAAAATTATACGTGAAAAAATAAGAAACTTTTGTATCAAACGTTTTTTTAAAAATGCCTCTGTCAATCTTAAAATTAATCTTGTTATTTCATCACAGTTACTTTCAAGGTCAATTTTAAGATTGACAGAGGCACTTTTAGAAAAAACGTTTGATATAAAAGTTTCTTATTTTTTCACGTAAAATTCGAATCTGTAATAAAAGATACCATGTTCCCCTAAAAAAATTCAATTTCCAATCCGAATGATCTGGGACACCCTGTACATATAACTTTTATTATTTGTTAATTTACCTCTTAAAAGTAAAAATTTCGCTTATAAGTTTCTTTTGCACACAAATTCAGATTATTTATTTATAAATATAAATTTATTTAAAAATATAAATTATTAATTTGTTTAAAATGTACTCTCTAAAAATAAATCAGTGAAAATATCATTAATTTAAACAGTAAAATAAGATTTCACTGAAAATCGGTGAGTATTTTACTGATTTTCAGTGGAAACGCTTAATTTTTTGTTATTTTATCTTATATCTCATTGATTATGGTCAGTTAAAATAAAATTCACTGTAAAATCAGTAAATTTCACTGTAAAACCAGTAATCGCTAGTTCGTTCATTTACTGCTACTATCTCTATCTCTCTCGTATTTAATTTTAATTATAAGAATTATATAAAGTTTGCAAAGAACGACATTTAAAATTAGAAGTATTACTTCGATTTCTGATATAATCTCATAGAGAGGTTTCAGATATTAAGTCGATCTTTATAAGTCGGACAAATAAATGTCTGGCGACTTAATGAAAATTATTCGTTCGTTGTCTATTTAAAATAACAAGTTCAATATGCATGTAATATAAATAAAATTTTTAATATAATAAATATTTAGTAAATATAAAATTTTTAATTTTATATGAAATAGACAGAGAGATGAATTATAGTTTAATATTACCGACAATAACGAAATATTACTGATATTGAGAAATATTACTGATTGACAGTCAAAATTATTAATTGATTCTTTCAATAAAATATCACTGATTTACAGTGCTGTACTTATAACTGCTATAATCAGTGACTATTTACTGTTTTTCAGTAATAATAAACTGACTCACTTTTAGAGATTAAAGGATACATTCTTATAAAATTAAATGTAATAATTTTAAGGAAAAAAGATGCTTAGATATTTTGATGTTATGTTAGAAAAAAAATAAAATTAGAGAAGTTTGATGTCTAGGAATGAGAAATTAAGACAAGTCATAAAAAAGATTACCTCTCATGCCCAAATGGTGAATTACTGCCTTTGGTATTATACGGGATATATGGTTTGCCAAAAGTTACGCTATGACTGATATCTTTGCCATACGGTACATATACGTGATTCTCAGCTTCGTAGCCTTGATTAAAGTCATCGCTTTCCGAAGGATAAGGTGGTCGGAAAGGTTTTTTATTATAGTAACGATTATTGTACTGCGGCTGACGAAAATCGTTACCCCCATAAGATGATTTCTTGTAATGTGATCGCCATGGGGCTGGACTTCGTCTCGTTTTTTGAACGGGCACGACTACCACCACTTTTCTTTCTCTGAAATCAGAAGGAAAATAAATGGTTGAATCTCTCAAAGATTTTAATTATTGAGGAGATCCTAAAGTCACCTGTTTTATCGACAAAAACTCCGTAATTTTCGGAAGTGTGCCATTTTTTATTGCCTGTATAGAATTAAAAATCCTTCTCCAGAATTGAAGTATACACGTAAACGAACACGTGAAAACTCTATATAGTATGAGATTTTATATTGAGAAAGAAAATAAGTATAAAATTACATTTTTATTTATCGATTTCTTAAATCAACATGGCGTCAGAGTTGTTAACTTGTACAAATATTAGCTTCTTATAAAAGTTTTATAGCTTTTATGCATAAAACTGTAGTTTTCACGATTGTGTACTGCACCGTAGAACATTGTCAAACTATAAAAACTGAATTTAATTGCCTAATTAATAAATAGCATTTTTCCGAAAATTTCAATCTGCATGTACTTGAAATATCGGTAAAGTAGAGTAAAAAAGTAGTGGATATTCTTTATAAATAACGTGATAAACAGGGATGAGAATTAGATGAGGGTGCTGTAATCGTATAAGAGTTCGCCATTCAGTTTAGGATCCCCTTAAATATGAGAAATAAATAATTTCTCAATTTTTCCAAAATATTTTTAAACTGCGTATAAAGAATTAGATCTAATTAAGTAATATTATTATAAAAGATTTTTAAAATATGCACTACACAAGTACGCATATACTATATATAAAATATAAATGATATATAAAATGTATGTGTAAATATATGCCTGTATTACAAGAAAGTTTAAAAATAACATTTAATCTTGTTATTTTTGACATGATCCATTTTTGTGTACAATATATTATAGTTTTTCATTTTCTATTAAAATTAAAACTAATTGGAAAAATGTTGGACTATTCTCACATAAATTCTTCAACAAAGTTGTCCCTCAATAACAGCAAGAAATGATCGTACTTTCACACACTTTAAATTTTCGCAAAAAGCAGATGATCCACTTTTCTTAGTATTCGTGTTCTACTTTAAAGATCCTGTTAAGGGGAAAAAGCCGTCATAAACATCAGATAAGTGAAAGAAAAGTCTTATTTTTCAATTTTACAAGAGATTTGCACATTACATTTTTAACACTATTGATTAGTTCAATATTTTATGATCTCTTGTTATTCTTCCAATTGGAATTAATTATTAGAACTGGTCATTGTAATTAGATGTTTCGTCATCTGGTTAAAATATGTGTTTATAAATCTTTTTACTTAATATTACGAAGGAGAATTACTAAAATAATTATATATTATTAATAGAATTTACATGTGATTTTGTTTTTAAATAAGAAATTAAGAGAAATAGCATTTTTGAAAATAAATTTTTGTTTTTTTTTCTTCATGCAGGACAATCTCAAAATATAATAAGTTTATTCATAAAAACGTAACTAATCATATCTACAACCAAAAATGATGATTATAAGCTTGTTGCAAGTTTTTCCATATTTTTGAAACGCAAAATCTATTTTTTTTTTTCATTTAGAACATTTTTTTATATGAGATCTTAAATAGCCATCAACTTTCGACCGTTTTAGCAGTAATGTAACATATTCATGTAGTTTCTTAATTAAGTACAACACAGGTACTCACGCGTGAATAAGAAGAGACTCGCTGATCGCCAACAGCAGAACGCAGAGGGCCTGTGAACATTAATTATTGATTAGCGCACGTTTTAATGCTAACAAGCGTAAATGACGTGCGCGAACTGCTTATGGAGTTGACAGACTTTCACGTAGAAAAGATTAGTCGCGTGTGCAATCGCATCTACGAGAGTTACGCACGAGACACGCAATCCCGTTACGCTGCAGTTATCATTGGCGTTGGAATTATATCGCAAGAATTATATCAAAACTGCAGAAATTGCGAACATGCGCGTCGATCTTATCCCTTTTATTGCAATTTCACTGATAAGAGTGATTAAAACTCTCAATGAAAGTTCACACATGTATATCGCTAAATTAGAGTCTTGCAGCTTTTAAAAGTCGATTTATATCGAAAATTTAAATAGTTTTCTGCTTTGCATAGATCATTTATATGCAATGATTCAGAGTTTACTCTGTTCATTTCTCATTTTTTAATATATGCAAATAAAAATTATTCTAGATGTCTATAGGAATCTACTCAAAATATATTACATATATACATACAGGGTGTCCCATTTTAAGAAACGCACCTCGATAATTCTTCAACGAAGCATTTTCAACAAAAATGTTTCAAACAAAAGTTGTATGGTTTCAAGTCACGTAAAGGCCACCTTCAATTAACTATTCAAGATCAAATTAATGATACCATCTTATGTCCCCCTTGAAGCGATACAACTTTTGTCTGAAACATTTTTGCTGAAAATGCTTCGTTGAAGAATTATCGAGGTGCGTTTTTTAAAATGGGACACCCTGTATATAATATATATATATATATATATATATATATATATATATATTATACATTATATCTTTTGATTTATTTATTAAAACACATCTATCGTACTTTACTAATCTTGTAATAAATAAATATATAATTGAATAAATTTGTTAATAAAAATAATGCAAAAATAATATAAAACAGAATTAATAACAATATATTTTGAGTATTAATTTTTAAGGGCACACGTTCTTGTTTGCATATTCAAAAATAAGGAATAGAAAAATATAATTATGAATTATTGCATATAAATAATGATTATCTGTTAAAAGCAGACAATTTATTTGAAAACAACAAAATATATAATAATATACATTATGAATGCATAATATATATTAAGTTTTATATGTGATTTTGTTTGTTAAGTAAGAAATCGAGAGAAAAAGAGAGAGAGAGAGAGAGAGAGAGAGAGAGAGAGAGAGAGAGAGAAAGAGAGACAGGACTTCTCAAAATAAATTTTTGTTTTTTTCTTCTATATATTTGATAGTCACAAAACGTAATAATTCATATATAAATTTATATTTAATATTTACCTATAAATTTAATATTTATTCATTAATTTATTCATAAATTAATCTTTCTCTTTTTCTGTAGAATATTAATTAATTATTTAATATAAATTATTACACAAAAATGAATTCTTTTTTTCTCACAATAATATACATATTTATATTTCCTCTGAATGGATACATGGCCGACAAATTATTATTTATTAATTATCAAATAAATTAAATAATAATTATTACTAATTATTAATCTTATAAATACACAAAATAGACAAATAATTAAATAAGTAAATAAATAAATAAATACATAAATATATATATATATATATATATATATTATACATATATATATGTATACATCATTTCCATAGATTATTCATAGACATCATATATTCCTCCTATAAGTTTCAACATGTAATCTAATTTGAAAAAATTTTCCTTTTGATTGTTGATCAATATCTTTTATCAGCCTAAATTATAAAAAAGAAATTTAATGCCGAGAAAAACGATTTTGATAAGCAAAGTTCGAAAGACTCACCGAGTACCGCATACTGCCAGCCCTTGGATTGATCTCGCGTCAACTTCGATACGATATTGCGCTTCTATCCGCTTCGCGGTCGCGGATGAAGACACGGATGGCGAAGAAGCCCTCGCACCTGTCTTAACCGAATCAAGGAGTCCAGGTCCGAGATTGACGTGCCTCGTCACCGCGAACGTTCCAGGTGATATTGCGGCTACCCGCGCTACGCCTCTTCTCTTTTATACAAGATAAAAAGAGCATAGACGCGTGCTCGCCTCCCACCGTGGAAATGCACCAGGCTCCGGCGATCGCGTTAGATGGAAATGGAAAACGGGCGGCCGCACAGTCTCCTCTCTGCTAAATACAGTTAGCCGGACCGATCGTGTTGCGGATTTTTGTCTACGGAGAAATCGACGCTTTCTTCGTCGTGAGACGGACAAGGGCGTACTCGCGATTCGCCGTTCGAGATCGCCGGATCTAGCGATGATGAGCCGAGAGGCCGATTGAACAGGTGTATCTCGCGACATTATCATCGAATATCTCTCTCTCTCTTTCTTTTTCTATCGAAATGAAAACAAAACGATCGTTAGAAAGATGTTGATATGATATATACTGGACGGATGAGTCTATCAAAGTCTTCAATGAAAGTTAGCCGGCAGCTATCGACAGAAAGTATAAAGATAGCTTTCTTCTATATATTAATTAATCACTATACAATTGGAAATGAAAAATGGCCTAGAACAAACGAGACATGTATGCGAAATAAAGGGATGATATATTAATTATAATTAATAATAATTAATTTAATATAATAATAATTAAATAATAATAATAATTTAATATAATAATAATTAATTAAATAATTATAATTATAATTAATAATAATTAATAATAATTAATAATTAATATATATTAATTATAATTAATAAATTACGCTAGACATGCATTACATTACGTGTTATAATAAAATCGCGTGTATGAAAAGATATTACAAGTTTAACGTTGTACAATAAGATGATATAAAATAATTGATAGGATTTGTGGTCTGGATTAATGGAATCTCGGGTCAAATTAAATTGTTCTTAGTCATCAATAGTCATTTTGCGCAGACGCACGAGGATGTATTGATGCATCTATAAGCCGCACCCAACATTTACTTTCCAAAATGCGACTAACAAAAGTGCAAATGGCAATCCGATTGCACGGAAAGTGTTCTACATTTCCTACACATATCTGCGACATGAGCATCAATCTGCTTGATTTCATATATGATTCCTTTGTTCATACAGTCTTTCTTATATTAAAACAGAACGAATCTCTGTGTAATAAAATTATAATATTTAATTATAATATTTATTATAATATTTGGTGTAATAGAGAATTATAATATGTATGAATTTTAATAAATTCATTGTACATGTATATATGTATACGAGGAAAAATATTATATATATATATATATATATATATATATATATATATAGGGTGTGTCATTTTACATAAACCATAAAATATAATAAAACAACATGATAATTTTAATAACGAGCAATAAGAGCCCACAACCGCGGATGGCAATGCGTGAATTATTTCGAACATTAATTGTTCACGAAAATTTTAAGGCATATGCACATATGCCAAGTTATAGATTCTCTTGGTTTGAGCCTTCTATAACACCCCCTTTTACCCCCCTGGAGAGATGTAGACAGGAAAAATATCGGGGCGAAGTCGCTGAATCGGGAATCGAACCCGAGTCTTTCGCTTGCCGGACGACTGCTCTTACCACTGAGCTATTCAGCCCCACACCGACATTTCTCCTGTACGTTTTTATTAATCGGTGGAAATAATGAGAACACGATAATTAGCTCCACGTGTAGTTCTAAATGAATTGGTAAATTATTCGGCTCTATATATTTAAACAACATGATAATTTTAATAACGAGCAATAAGAGCCCACAACCGCGGATGGCAATGCGTGAATTATTTCGAACATTAATTGTTCACGAAAATTTTTTGAACAAATTTTGTGAAAAAATTTTCGTGAACAATTAATGTTCGAAATAATTCACGCATTGCCATCCGCGGTTGTGGGCTCTTATTGCTCGTTATTAAAATTATCATGTTGTTTAAATATATAGAGCCGAATAATTTACCAATTCATATAAAATATAATATCTTGTAAAATATTCATTTTTCGATTATCTTACCTTCATACTTTTACGTACAAAATAATGAAAGGAATCAATTGGTGTAAAGAAAACATACAGTTGTTTTTAAGAAAAAATGTGGAATTGTTAATTGCAAATTCCATATTTTTTCTTAAAAACAACTGTATGTTTTCTTTACACCAATTGATTCCTTTCATTATTTTGTATATAAAAGTATGAAGGTAAGACAATCGAAAAATGAATGGTTTACTAGATATTTTATGATTTATGTAAAATTAAGAAATTATTTCAAGCCTTATAACTCAAAAAGTACTTAATAAAAAGGTACTTAATTATAGTGTTTTGGAAAGCTCTCGAGATAAGCTACAAGAATATGCAATGAAAAATAGGGGGTTCCATTTAAGAAATTGAAAATAACCTTTATGTGACCCTCAAATGACTATCCAAGGTCAAATTTTTGCCACCCATCTTCTGTCCCCCTCGAAGTCAAGCAACTTTTATTTGAAACATTTTGTTGTACATTCAAATATAAAAAAGTTATTGGAGTGGATCACTTAAAATGGCCCACCCTGTATATATATATATATATATATGTTATATGAGCAATTTAAATATGCCTTTCTTCTAATTACTCACGATATAAAGCAAAGAACGACTGTCGTCCGCGCGATTTATTAACTGCAAGTTGTGAACGCAATCGAAAGTAAAATTAATTTGCGACCACAAACTATCTTAACACAAACTATCTCTTTACAAACTATCCTCTGCTTCGAAGAAAGATAAAATTACAGATGTACACAGTAAAAAAATAAAATGTTAATTATAACATTTTTCACATGTCTCAGAAAGTCTACTCTAAATTTTAAGTTAAAATAATTCATTCGTCGTATGTTACTTGTTGACAAATTAAAAACGTTAAATAATTGACAATACTTTACATTTATTTTTGTTATTGTAACTTTAAGTAATGTAAAAGTAACATACAAATTAATTAAAAATTATATGAAAAAATAGTTACAGAAACTCGTAAAAAATGTTGATAAGACATATTAACATATAATAGTAATTATTTTAACTTAAACTATTTGTAATAGAAACATTTGATTTTAGTAAATTTGATTATCTTGTACATCAAAGTTCCAGATTATTTGAAGATTTACTTTAACTTGGAATGTTAAACTGACTTTGAGACATGTTGATTGTTTAAAAAATGATTATGTTAAAGATACTTAAAATAATATTCCATTTCTAAGAGACATATACAAAGTGTTAAGTTATGAAATTGACATAAATGTAACACATGAAAAACTTTATAAAAATAACATATAAGTTGTATGTTAATTTTACATTGAAGTATTTATCAAAATGTGATAACGCAAGAAAATTTTAATATATGGGCACACAATTTACTGTGGATAATGAATTTTTGCTGTGTAAAATGATGAATTTCTCTTTCGATTACAATGATTCTCGTAATTCTATCACAATATTCTTTCTTCTTTTATTTGTTTGACGAAAAATTTAATTAAAAATTTCACTGAGAGGGATATTTCGTGCGTTTTCATATTACTGCCGTTACGGTCCACATATACAAGTTCTTTCTCGACGCGCCGCCGACGATGGCGTCAATTAGTTCATTCACGCGATGTACTTTCTTTCGAATTCAAGGTCGAATTTCTAACCTTATGCCTTTTTCAATGAGGATTAGAGAGTGATTTGTTCCTTAATAGCGTACTTTAGTCTTAATTATGACATGAGAATCTTAAGAACAATAACAATAATATGACATGAGAATCTTAAGAATAATAACAATAAAATTTAATAAGAATAAATTTTTTGTTTCAAAAATAAATTTTTGAAATAAAATAAAAAATATTATCACAATTTTTCCCCAATACAGAGATATCCATATTTTACCCAAAAACTAAAAAAAAAGATACGTGGTAGAATCAGAGTTACTCAAATTAAACTTGTAATAAATTTGTTGAAGAAAAGGAGGAAAGAAATGTGGAAGATGTAAAAATAAAGTATTGCGGAAATTTTTTGTTCAAAAAAGGATCTTATCTTTCCCATAATAACAATAAAATTTAATAAGAATAAACTTATGTTTCAAAAATAAATTTTTGAAATAAAATAAAAAATATTAACACAATTTTTCTCCAATACAGAGATATCCATATTTTACCCAAAAACTAAAAAAAAAGATACGTGGTAGAATCAGAGTTACTCAAATTAAACTTGTAATAAATTTGTTGAAGAAAAGGAGGAAAGAAATGCGGAAGATGTAAAAATAAAGTATTGCGGAAATTTTTTTGTTCAAAAAAGGATCTTATCTTTCCCTAGGAAAATTAGCTATACAACGCAAACTAATAATTTTAAAATAATGCATGGTGGGAATTTTTGCGTAATAGATACAACATTGTCGAGAAAGATAAATTACAATTAAGTGCAACTTCTCGTGACTACAATTCTTCATATACAATATACAGTTCCACGAGTCAGTGCGCTCACACACACACAGATTTGAAAATTAATAACGTAGCTCGCAATTTTTTTATCCGCTCTTAGTCACGCTTTCGACTAAACGATTTGGTAATTACCTAAAGACTTGCATTTTTCATACTTAGAAAACGTTGTATTCTCTTCAAATATGAGTGCAATATTTGTTTTGACTTTTTTGTCGATATAGAACATTTCAGTTTTTAGCCTATATGTAATTTTTCTTTTTTATATATGTAATCTTTGATAAATTAATGAATTGATAAAGAATTTATATAATCTTTGATATTACAATCTTTTATACATATAAATAATTTTTCTATCATATTTTAATGAATTCTTTTTTTTCTCTTTGAACAAAAATAT